GAGTGCGAGCAAATACTAGAAGGCTTCGATTCGGTGGAGACAATTGTGCACGCGTCATTCTACCGTGCCAGCGCAGAGTACTACAAGTCGAAGCATGAGTTCGCCGCCTACTACAAGAACGCCCTCCTCTTCCTCGCCTGTGTCGACCTTGCCGACTTGGAACTCCGAGAACGCCAGTCCCGCGCCTACGACCTCAGTATCGCTGCTCTCGTCTCAGACTCCATCTACAACTTTGGAGAGCTGCTACTACATCCGATCCTCGACTCGCTCGTTAACACCCCGCACGCGTGGCTGCGCGACCTCCTCTTCGCCTTCAATCGCGGTGACCTGATCGCATATGATGTACTCGCAGGCAACATTTCCAAGGTCCCGCTCCTGAAGGAGCACCAGACCTTCCTCTACCAAAAGATCTCCTTGTCCGCCCTGACCGAGACCGTCTTCCGCCGCCCCCCACACGACCGTGCCATGACCTTTTCTGAGATATCACAGGAGACTAAGGTCCAACCAAACGAGATTGAGCACCTGATTATGAAGGCGTTGAGCTTGGGCTTGTTGAGGGGCCAGATCGACCAGGTCGCGGAGATTGCGCGCATCAACTGGGTACAACCGAAAGTCCTGGACATGAAGCAGATTGAGAGCATGAGGTCAAGGCTGAGGGAGTGGGATGCAAGCGTCAACCAGCTTGGTAACTGGATTGAGGGTGTGGGCAAGGACGTCTGGGCAGCTTGAATAAGCATATGGGAACTTGCCCAAGAAGCTATCAGCTTATTCTATTGCACAAAAGGTCGTCTCCGCGTACTAGAACGTGGCATGGAGAAGCTGTAAGATGGACGCCAATGTGCCATGTGATCATAGATTATAGCCAGCGTCACCGACATGTAGGCCAACGAAATGAAGAACCACGATGCAACACTTGCCAAATCTTACAAAGCAATCGTAATCCAGCCGCTGCCTCTCTCTCATGCCCTACCCATCTTACTCAAATACCCCAGTAGCAATAACACTCGCATTAATTGCCCACGCCGGCAACCAAACCAAAAACACCACAACCTGCGTCCACAGCCCCCAAATATGCCACCCCTGCGCCGCCTTTGCAAGAATAACCCCCATATTGCCCCCCAGCAACTTGGCCGCCGCATGCACGACCAACAACGGATTCAACATTGCCACAAACCCCAACAATGCCACGTTAACGCCCAAACTCCCACTCCTCCTAAGAAAGCTAAACGGCGCACAACTCACACCCACCAAGAAACTCAGCGAGAAATTGAGGGTAGCGAGAACAGCAAGGAAGACACCAAGAAGGAGAAGCGAGAAACATTGAATCAGGGTGATTTCTTGTGTGGAAAGAGGCCGGTTGTTGAAGAAGAAGAAGGCGATGCCGACGGGGACGACGGAGCTGATGTTTGCGGCGGTTAGGAAAAGGCCGTGGAGGTGGTTTTCGTCCCAGTGGTTGAATGCGTAGAGGGGGATTAGGCCGGCGAAGTGGAGGACGAGGACGAAGGTGAGGGGGAGGAAGAGGCGGCGTTCTGTTATTGTGGTTAGGGATTTAGGGACGATGGATACCGCGCCGTCTTGTTTAATGATTTCGACGACTAGTGAAGGGGGTTTGGGGGGTGAGCTGGTCGATCCGGAATCTGTCTTGTTGGGTGCGAATGAGGGTTTGCTGTCGGGTGAGATTGGCTTATCGGAGTTCCTGTCTGTTGGTGTGGTGGATGCTGGGTTGGTGGCAGGCTCGGTGGATCGTCCGCTCTGTACCCATAATGCGATGGCTGCGATGCTGAAGTTGACGGCAATCAACATAGCCGAGGGGAGATAGGTTCCAATGCTAACGAAGCGGTTTGCTTGTAGCAAGAGATAGAAGAAGAAGCTCTGGTGTAGGTGTTCTAGCAGATTGTTCAAGCTGCGGAACAAGGACTCGACAGTCTTTCCAAGTGACATCTCATCGTGCCAGCCATCGCCGACTGTTTGCAGGGTAATGGCGTCAACATGGTATGGAATGAATGATGAATGCGGTCCAGTGGCATGACCCATGCCCTGCGCTAACATGCCGCGAAACATGGTCTCTAGGCGTACTTTGTATGCGTCGTTGTGTCTCCACATATTTTGGATGCCGCAAGCAATACCCATCTGACCAGACGCGATCTGGACCGCCGTGTTGAACAGATCGAGATTGGGAAGCTGGCCGTTCGTGCCATCATATACAACATGGAGCTTCTCATATCGATGACCCCAAGGTCCTGCAGGGTAGTCAACCGCAACAGCAGCTTGGAGGGCTCCACTCTTGATCTTCAGGCCTTCCACATAGCGCTCGTCATGCCCATCGTGGTATGCATCAACCCAAGCTTGTGGCCCCGTAGTGCTGTCTCCAGAGACTAGAAAGATGATGTCCTTGCTCCATAGACTCCAGCGCTTGAAGTAACGAGCTAAAGTGAGAACCAGAGCCACGCCGGAATTATTGATCTCATCGTCCATGTTCTTCCATGCTCCTATGAGAACAATAGCCTCTGTGGCGTCGGCGCGAGGGCCCTGGAGGATGGCGTAGACATTCTCGTTGGCGATTGTGCGGTTCGACACGGTGTAGTTGTACTTTTGGGTCGCGAACTTGAGGTTCTGCTCTTTGAAGATGGTCTCGAGCTTGTGGGATCGTCTGAATGGATGCTGTCAGCTGTCTGATCTGGGAACATTACATCAGCCAACATACTCTTCCACAGGCCTATCTATCAATCCGTGGACCTCGTGTCGATAAGCTCGAAAGACATTGTGCTCGCTACCGGTAAAGTATGTATGTACTTGTCCGGGTAGTAGAGCGTTTTCAGACACGTATGTACCTCGCGAGTACTCGTTCAGAGGAAGGATGAGCAGCCATGCTATGCCAACAAGGATGCAAAGCGCGGAGAGGTAGGGTGGGATCTTGAGAATGCGGGTATCTCGCCGCAGCGCCAATATCGAGGCTGCAAACGTTAGCCTTGATGTCTCACAGCGCATACAGAACAAGACTCACAGAGCAATGCCATCACCACCGCAATCAATTGTACCTCACGAAGAAAGAAGGGAGGAAAGTCGTGTCCTCTTCTCTTCTGCCCAGCATCTGGCGCACTCCGTCTTGGAAGGTGGTAAGGCTGGAGGATCGACACTAGCGCAACGCGGTGGACCCTAGGCTGCTTTCTTTCGCCCATCCCAAGTCAACGCGCCTGCAACTTGTCTTACTCCCGTCGCGCTCCGCAATGCCGTCGTTCCCCCAGTTCAGTCCCACGCGCATACGCTCCTATGTCGTTCGCTTGCCCTTTTGCACCAAAGTGCTGGTCGCTGCTATATTAGGGCTCTGGATTGCAACTATACCCTTCCCATGGATCAGGGACTTTGGGCGGCTGGAGCCGGCCAAGATGGATCTTTCACAGAGTACGTCGGTTTCACTTAAGATGAGAATAGAGGAGAGAAAGAAGCAGGATAGTGGCCAGCTTTGAGAAGCCCTGATTGTTGTGCCTCCAGCTTCATGGCCTGAGGCAAAGATGAGGGATGCATAAAGAGCCTGTAATAAGTTGCTTGGAAACAAACTCGAAGGCTAATAAATCTTGTCTTGTAGTGCACCGGCTTAATTTGTTTCCACTTCTACATCTCAACTTCTTCCACATGATCTTCAACTTGGTCGCCGTAACGCCCCTCCTCGAACGATTCGAATCTGAATATGGGACTTTGGTCACACTGGCACTGTTCACAGGGCGTAAGACATACAAGCCCCTCGAGTCTACTCGTGCTAATATATTCAAGCCTTTGGAACGATCCCAGGAGGAGTCTACACACTATTGGAGAAGTTCGTTCTCCGGAGCAATACTATTGTCATGGGAGCAAGGTCCGTGGAGGTTCAGCATACCACGAGAGTACTAAGAAGACTAACACTTTGCAGCATATGGGTATTCCTACTGTTGTCTGCGGAAGTCATGAAGACACACAGAACCAACCCAAACTTCAGGTACGCTGAAGTACTCTCAATCGTAAACTCCGCTAAATCTTGTAGTGTTGGCCCCTACAGAGTCCCGACCTGGACTACACCGCTCATGCTCATCGTCGTCACCAGTATCCTCGTCCCAAACGTAAGCCTCATCGGCCACCTCTGCGGCGCTGCCCTGGGATACCTATGGGCATCTGGCTACATCAAATTTCTCGTGCCCCACGAGAAGATCCTCAGATGGATTGAGACCAAGCTGAATTTGCTTGTGAGACTACCACACTACGTTAGCGTCGATCAAAAGACATATGGCCGTTATGGCGTCCTGCCAACAACCACTATACCGCTCGGAGCAATGCCGAGAAGTCCTGTGCCTGGCGATGGGCAGAGACTTGGGCCGTAAATATTCAGATTATTAGATTCTCTCATGATTTGAAGATTTACTAGTATTATACGCACGACACCACAATCTAACGGCGTTTCACGGCGATGCATACGGGTGGGAGCACGACTTGGGCTGATTTGAGCCAATGTACAGATACGATAGATTTAATGTAATATGTGTTATGCCACCTACTGACACTTCATTTCGATTGACATGGCCTCTACGCCTATGTGATCTGTTGGACTTATGTGCGTCATGGATTGACATGCCTCTCGTACACTCTGTGAAATCCGGAAATCCCAAGCAGCACGAATGCCTCCTTGAATCACTATTAAATTGCTATGTAGCTTAGAAAGTAGTTTGTATCAACCATAGAGTATCTTAAGCAGACTCTAGGTTGCGTGCAAGTAGTTGATAGATATTCGGGTATCTCAATTGTGCGAGTGTCTACTGGATTCTACTAGCCCATGATTACCCCTCATGTGCTGTGCAAATATCGAGTCTGCGCCCCACCTTTATCCAGCCATATGGTACCCACCTTTGTAATAACGATTGGAAAGAGCGAAAGGCCACTAAGGGTAAACCCAACTTCAAATTTTGTGCCATTATATACCTTATAATCTTCTAGATTCTCATTAATCACATATACGATCTCAAAGTCGTTGCGCTTCGTTGGTGTAGTCGGTTATCACGTGGGTCTCATATCTCCATATATGACTATTCTCTCTGAAAAAGAATGGACATCCCAAGGCCACCAGTTCGATTCTGGTACGAAGCATATCTTTTTGCTCTGGTGTTGTGTCTAATGGTGGGTAGAAAGCTGCTGTAGTGATGATGATGATCATCATCACAGGGGCGTAAAGTTGCATGAAGTTAAATTTTTGCAATTTCAAAACCACACATACATGTCAGTTATTCTTGGTTTTCTGAATCACATTTCAAGTAGCTATTAGTATTGCCACAACGATTATGTTGAATGCATTTCTTTTTGCTGTGGTTAAGACGTCGCAGTGAGCCATTTGTGTTGTATTTTGCGTGGTGATATTGTGGACGTCAAGTTTTGCAGGTTCCAACAACAAGCGCGGGGCAACCACTACTTGAAACGGAAAGTCTGCAGTAAGCTGTGGATTGTAGAGCTATCTGAGGGGCAAAGGGCACGGCGAGGGGCAACGAGGGGCATAGAGGGGCATCGAGGGGCACGGCGGGGTGAGATTGATGGAGGGGCAGTGTCAGGGAATTCATGGTGAGCCCCTCGTCCATCAGCACGAAGGGGCTTGTGAGTCTTGGGCGTTTAGTGCTAAATTTTACATGTACATCTCACGCCTACAACGATATACGAACTAGCGTTTTCTCCCTCTCGATAATATATTATAGCAGCTTTACTATTTAGCAAGGATGACACTACAGTTTTAAGAAGAAGCCTGTTAGGTCTTAGAGGGTTGTACATCACTTCTAATCAGTGTAGTAGACAAGACACTGGCACTCAAAATTTACGAGCCCCTTCGTACGTGCGGGTCAAAGAGCGATTGATCCCCTGTACCAAACATTCCATTGTGTCGATCCTGGAGGAATAATACAGCTAGAATATTGGAAAATTTCCTAGGTTCTGCTTGGGCTGTGTACCTTCAGGTTTCTCATAGGCACTTTTGTTTGACCTGGCAGAAAAGGTATCTCACTTGACTGAATCGTCCGGAAATCCAACAGTAGTGACGCTCTCTTTATAGGCTGTAATACCTTCCTAGTCTACTATAAAATAGCTGTAAGCATTATAGTACACTATAATATATCTATCATAACTTATCTATAGCCTGAATAGACCCTAGCATGGTGTACTAACCATTTTTCTTTTTGGCATATGCACCTCTGGCGGATTTCCGGCTATTTCAGTTGACCGACAGGATACAACCTGCCAAAAGTCCTCTCCTCTTCGCAAGGGAGTTTGTTTCCGTGGTGCCGCTCCTTCAGAAAGTGATATCGGTATATCAAGTTCGAAACTCACATTCTCAAGAGCGCGTTACGTATGTGTACCTTGTCCTTGCTGAAAGCATTGCTATCTTATCTGTCTAAGTGTATAAAACTGCGTACCAGCACCTGCAGGAGATTTTCAAATGAAGGAAGTAATCAGATCTCGTGGAATCAATCCTAAGTCAGAGAACAAGAAGTGTTAGAAGGAGAGCCACCAATGTTGATACTCAGACACTTCAAAGGGATATAGCTTGTGCTTTCGTTTGTGTGTCGTCCTTCTGTACATGAGTTTCTCTGACACTTTTTGCTATGGAAAAGTCCCCTCTGTTTCCTCCCCTTACACGTTCATCACTCCGCAACATGTCTGCAAGAGTCGCGAGGCGCTTCTCCTTCTACTTCTTTCGATGGCGTTCAGAACAAACATACCACGAACCCTATAAGTCGACAACTTAAAGGTCAAGGGCACAGCTGTTGAGATCGCGATAGGTTCTCCGTTTGCTCCCCGCCGATCAAAATTGGCATACTTAGGGGCGTAGGTACATAGGACAGGGGTAGCAAGATCATTGTAAGTGTGGCAATGGCCAACATGGCTGTGCTATCTCGTTTGGTTGTGTCCACAATGCTCATAGCTTGTTCAGTCGTTTCGCCCGTACGCTATCCTATGGCTATGGACTGCTCGGCTACCAGGATACTCCTTTGGTTTAGTGACTTTGCTTCCTCTGCAAGCTCCTTGCTCTGCTATGGAATGGTTTGTGATGCTTCTGCTATTTTCAAACTCTGTGCTGTCGACCTTGATTTTTAAATATCCTGCTATGTACCGAGCGATGAATCGTCTTGTTTCGCAGCCAGATGCCACATAGCTGACATCAGAAGAAAGACTTCCTCATTGTGTAACGGACTCTTTTCAATGAAAGTATCGACGCCTCCAAGGGTACATCCTGCTTGGGCAACAAGTTTTCGCCTATGCTCTCTCGGATATACCTTTTGCGTGTGCTCGAGCGTGGTGCAGTCAATAGCAATGGTACGAAAGTCGTCTGCAACATTTCGTAACTGAGTTTGAAAAAACTGTACAGTTGTAACAGGAAATCCCGAATTCCAGAAGTTCTCCATCACCGTTCTGATGACTTTGAAATAATCCACCAAGGGATTTATAGCATCGTCTATGGACGGCTTCATCTTCTTATTTACTGTATTGCTCGAAGAGCGGCCCACTCGAACGGTGGTGAAAGCTGTTCTTGCAGTCTCGTAGGTCTTTGATATGACGCCTTAGCTGATTGTCTGCAAAAGATGCGTGCAAGCAACGGACGGCCAGCCGAATCTCCAGAGTACTCGAGGGTGTCTTTCGAATATTCCTCGTCATTTTTGTACAGTCCAGTATAATACCATGCGTTTCCAATGTCTTGAGAATCCAAGAGAGAGCCATAATACAGTCGTACTGGCCAGTACGACTTGTGCCTATTCGCATTACGCAGCCTCCGGTGTTTGCCGTCAGGGGCAGATCTTATCAGGGAGAAAGATCACCTACCCTGTAGTTCTGACTTCATCCGATCGGTGCCTCTTAAAACACTTGTATAAATCGTGTCCTTCCGGCGTATAGCTTTCAATATTGTCTTCGGTAGAGACCATGTCTCCATGATAGTCATAGATTTTGTCTGAGTAAAAGGAACCGTATTTAGAGAATCATCAATGACAGGATTGCGAATCCCGATAGTGCAATTCTTGTGGATCGCGCGTCTAGCATATCTAAGACTTGTGGGTATATATCTCCCTCAATGAGTGAAAGGAATCACCAACATCAACCAGAGACATAGTCCAGGTATATCCTTGGGACAGACAGGGGTTGTTTCTCCGTACATGAACAGCACCAGAGGGCGGTGTGGAGCACAGGCGAGATACTGACGGATTGGATCCAGCTTAACAAATTGGCATCGTCTTTCTTTATGCCAACATTGAACATGAATGTTCCGTTTTGAAGCGCTTCCTAGGATCTGGTCAGTTCCGGTCACAAATGGCGCTCGAGAGAAACTATTACACGATATTGCCTTGATTCGATGATGCAACATGGACTGGGAATGCATTTCCAGGCCGTCTGATCCATCTCTGCAGTGAAACTGGAGCGTTGTTTTGCCTCCACGTCCATGCTTCAAAAGCCGCATAAGATGATGAAGAGTGTGAATCGAAGAAGAGCAATGAGACTGAGCAATCATCTACGGGTTTCGTAAAGACACTATAGGGAGGCTTGAGTCTGCTATTGCGATATATGCTGTGTATTTCGTAATCATCTTGCAACAACCCCCCCATACTCGATAGTGCAAGCTCACCGTGCGATATGTGGAATTGCAGCTGTGAGTAATCCGGGCCACATATGAACACCGTAAACTGCCAGCTTGGCCTATCTGGGGTTCGAGAGGGACACCTTGTTATAGCGCTGAAGATATTTTCTGCGCAGTTTAGATAAGCCTTCAACCACGAACGAGGAATACTTCAGCGTCTTCAGAGCCTCCATAGCGATCGTATCGTATCAGGTCAGTAGTGGCTACTGTCTCTTGCTTCCTTTAGCGACATGCACCTTGCGGGAATTCTGGTCTTTCACAGGTCCTACTTTAGGACTAGAAGACCACACGTCCTGGTTTGCGCACGAAACTAAGAAGCTTATGCTTTCGCTCATGTCAATTTACCTCATACCTCGTACTCGACCGGGTCTGGACTCAGTTGCTCAGCACATCGCGAATGCTACACCTGTAGGCATCATCCACGGTGACATCAAGCCTTGAAATATACTCGTCTTCCCCGGCACGACCAGTCCCAAGCCTGTCTTGAAGTGGAGCGACTTTGGACTCAGTACATGGACGGACACATGCCAAAATACGAGAACGACTCGGTCATACGATGCTCCAGAAAATGCTCTTGGGCTAGAACTGGGCACGAAGAGTGATATCCGGTCATTTGGCTGTGTGCTGTTCGAATTTGTGGTGTGGTTACTCCGTGTCTGATGCTGTACAAAGCTATGCTGCCCAACGATTGATGGCGACTCCGGGCTCAGGGCTGCCGCTAACAGACAATCATTTCTATACGGTAGAATACATGAGGTAGCAACTGGTAGGGGTCATTGTTAGAACTGCGGTATCGGATCGCCTTAGAGAGCTCTTGGAAGATGTTCAGTCGATACTGTAACTGATTTCTCGCAATATGCTTATTATTGATCAGAATGAGCGTAGCACCTCGACTGAAATTGTACGATACCTGGAGAGAGATGTATGCTGAAAATCTTTCCATCTCTTTCGACAGCATCATGTCATGTAAAAAAATTAAGTACTTACAGAGCTTATAAAAATTTCGATGACTGTCTTCGAAAATCGCCGAAAGTTCATCTGTCATTATTATGCGGTATAAGGGTTCTGCCATGTCCCGCGTAACAAGGTGAACTCGTCTCCGGCATCGTCCTAGATCATTATTGCATTTTGCGGTACATATCTTGCCGCTATGGGTAAGCCTCAGCTCCTTTAGTTCTGTTTACTCGAGAGGCTGGTAGTTGGACAACGATAGGAAATAAGCGTACTTGAAACCTTTCGAGAATGTCACTGCACACCGACTCCAATGCCGTTGAGCGAGTCAGAGCAAGCGGTGGTGACAGATGGCAAACAAGAGGAAGTATCAGATACCAACGCCGTCGGTTATGCATAGACGGAGCAGAAGGGATGGATTAGATGAGTTTGGCTTGAATGAGGCTTGGGTTTATCTCTAAAGTACGATAGTAGACGTCTAAAGTGCCAGTCGGAGCGGCAGCGGGCCGACGATTGACCAGTGAAGTAG